CCCCGCGCTCGTGGCGCCCAGCGTGGGGCTGAAGCCGCGCTGGTCCAACGGGTGGGCGTGGGAGGGCGTGCCGTTTGAAACCAAGGTCTTCCTCACGGTGAGTTGGTGTTCTCTTTGGTATCACTTTCTCGCAAAACCATGCTTACTTGCGTTACCCTCCCTTTAGTCCTTTTCCTATTTTCTCGTCGAGTTTTATGATTTCCTTCCCGAGTTTTCTTTAGGCTTGTCACATCTCATGGGCGTGCCCTTTGAAATAAAGGTCTTCCTCAGGGTGAGTTGGCGTCTGCTAGCCTGTTCTCTTTGGTATCACCTTCTCGTAAGACCATCTTCTTTTCCGCCTATTTTTTGCTTGCGTTTCTTACCTTGTCGAATCGTTTTTAATCCATTTACTTGCTTTAGACCCTCCCTTTAGTCCTTTTCCGATTTTCTCGTCGCGTTTTATGATTTCTTTCCAGAGTTCTTTTCTTTGGGCTTGTCACATTTCGGGCTCCTTCGACACTTCTTGCCTTTTGCTTGTGAGCTTTGCTATTTTTTGGAATCTTACCGCTCATCCTTCGCTTTTGCTAATTTCCCTGCACCCATTCTGTCTTGCAGCTCTTCCTTACTCTTACGTTTCGCTTCTTCTTATTTCTCGCACTTCCGTCTCGACCCTTTCTTCCCTTCCCTTCCCTGCCCTTCCATTTCGCTTTCTTCTCTTCATTGACTTTTCGTCTCGCTTGTTTCTTATCTTCATTTCCTTTGATGTCGCTTGTTTCTTCTCCTTCTTTGCCCTATAATCTCTCCTCTTTTTCTCTTGTCCTTCGGTCTCTCCTTCTCTTGGCCTTTGGTATCTCATCTCCTCTCCTCTCCTCTTCTGTTGCCCTTCCACCTGGCTTTTTCTCTTCCTAGCCTTGCATCTTCTTTCGTTGTTGTCTGCCCCTTCTTTTTCCGCCTACACGCCATCTGCGCCTCCTTGCCGTCTGTTTGCTGTCGGTGAGGCGTAGAGCGGCGTGTGTGTACTAAGGGTCGGTCGTGTCGCGTCGCGTGCGCAGAGCGAGGAGCCGGCGGTGGTGCGCAAGTGCTACCCGGCCATGCGGCACGCGGAGGGCGACGTGATCGCCCGCCACGACTGCGTGCTGCTCAAGTCGGGCCCGCGCCGCACCGACCTGCCCTTCGTCGCCAAGGTGGCGGCGCTCTGGGAGAACCCCGACGACGGTGAGTGCGCCGCGACCCCGCAGCCTCGCTGCGCATTTCGCTCCTAACATACCTGCCCTCGGCCCGACGAGACTCGGCCCGACGAGACTCGGCCCGACGAGACTCGGCCCGACGAGACTCGGCCC